TGATGATGCTGCAGGCACACAGAAAAACAAGCAGGCTGATGTCAGACAGGAGAAACCAGTCAGGGTCAGATCCACAGCATCCTTTTAGCATCCTACCACCTAAGGAGACACCTCTGAAGCACATACCTTTTTTTGGTCCCTCCCAGGGTGCCCCTTCTTTTTCGACTTGGGAGCCATCTCTGCAGAGAAAAGACAAGATAGTAAGAAACTGGGGAAGTAATCATGGATTGGCCTTGGATGCAGAAGAGGACACGAACATAGGGCATTCAGGACAAGGCTTGAATTACACCGAAAAAGCAACTGAATTGGGCTATCACAAGGAAGAAAAAGACATGGAGTGTCACCTATCCATCTTCCTGTAGCTTTCCCAGGGCCTGAAAAAATTGCCTCAATAGGCTCCAGACCACAGGCACCAATAATAGCCAAGGCCCTGGCTATGTCAGAATCTGAGCTATGGAGACCTTACTTTATACTTCCCCTATTTCATGAGCCATAACTTGGGTAATAATGCCAGCATACATTCTAGAATAACTCAGGGTGTTTATAACGACCCCATGTATTGGACAATTGAGAACAACACTCCAAAAAGTGAGAACAACTTTTCAGGGCCACACAGCTGTAACAATGCACGGACTCTTGTAGAATGGTTTACTAAGATCCTTGCCTCAGAGTAGCTCAGGCTGGGAATGAGAAAGATCAGTGATACTGGCATAGGGTACGACCTTACCAAAGCCATAGGGTGGGCAAGGAAAGTATTGTGGAGAACTCAGAAAGGGTCACCTTTTGGGAATAAGGAAGCAGGATGCCCCCCCACACACCCCAAATGATTAGGAACAAACAGGGTAGGTGCTCACTGCCAAAAAGACGACATTGACCTCCTTTCTCTTCTTTAGGTGAGACAGTTAACAGTGATGTCTCTTCTCTGGAACAGTCAATGTGCTACAGAATGAAGGCAGCATGTGCCTTAGCTCTTCAAGAGTCTGAAGGACTGGTGCTTCAGGTGTGCAAATGTGCCTGTCCTTGTGAGGCCAGTTAAACCCTAGGTGTGCATCTCTGCCTCCACCTGAGACTTTATAATAAGGAACTTTTTACCAGCTGAATATTCCACGAGAGGAACAACGTCTTGGTCAATGCTGCTGGGTGGACAAACGACACAACTGCCAATTAACAGGTTGGAAACTGGGCCCATGGTACAGAGCCTTTCAGATTCCTATCACCAAGAGTCATTTGTGTCTTTGCTATGGCTTCCCCCAAACACCTTGTCAGAACACCAGTTCTTACTGCTAGTGTCAAGGCCACCTCTCTCTGCTCATAGGTGTGTCAAGCTACTGTGCAATGCATGGCCCCTGTGGTGCAGTATGCTACCAGCAGGATTAAGATGGGAGTTCGTGCCCTACAAGCTTGCCACTCCATGCAGGACTGACAGATACAAACATGTCCTCACACAAACGGCAAAGGGCAACAAGTGAGGACACTTAGAACATGGAAACCCAGGGCTGAGCCCCAAATTTGGATGCCAGGAAGCAGGGCTCTCACAACTCCTTGGGTGACAAAAAGAAACTCAGTAAGAAATCCTTTTACAGGAAGACATTCAAAAGGGTGTTGCTGGGAAGATTTGTGGAATTTGGCTGTTTTGAGTATAGAAGAACCAGCTGGACATCTTACACTAGAAGGATTTGTATGGGAGGGGATACACAAGGGCTAGACAGCTAACAATTCAGTAATGGGTGGGAGAGGGAGGGAGGGATGGAGGGAGGGAGAATGGGACAGCCAGTAGACAGGCTCTATTGGTACTTCCAGTGTAAGAAGGTGGAGCAGGCAGGGGAGACATGGACTTGGGTTTTCTGCTCAAACCAAAAGCTGAGTATACTCTTTAGGGGATTCTCCGCATACAGAAGGTAGGAGATGAAGTTGAATCACTGTGTCAAGTGTGACCTGGGAAAGCCTTGGAGGTGCTATCCAGATGCTGCACTGAATGTGAGGTGTCTGGGAAGGAGAGGGGCTACCTGTTGTCTAGTAGCATTGAACAAGTCATTGTTTCCCCACTTACATAAAAGGGACAATGGCTCCAACCCTTACCACCTGCCTCAAGTTATGAGCAGAGAGAGGTCCACAAGACCAGAATTAGGACCAAGAGCAGTTGGTCACAGGGGTTCTAGGAAGTTATCTCAGCTGCATTGGAAAGGTCACAGAAGTATTTTGGAACTCATCTTCAGAGTGGAATTGGAGGCACAAAGCACCCCCACCCCCCCCACCCCCGGCCCTAGTCCAGGATAGTGGAAATGACATGTGTTGTGAGGCAGTCCTAAGAAGCTCCTGTGGCCCAAGCCTTGTGTTGGGTTATCAGTAAGATAAGACAGTAAGTACACAGCTTCACGACACACCAGCCCCAGACACCCCACACAAAACTCTCTAGAAAGGGTTACATGGAGATGGCCTCAATACTGTGTTATCTTTATTCCATAACAATCTTAAACTCCAACACAAATTTCATCTTTACATAGGATGGTATAGTACAAAGTAAAATGATTTTTGTAAAATCTGGTCAAAACACTGATTTTTTTCCACCCCAGTCCAGCCCCACTTCAATAAAGGAAACAGAGGTTTATGGGCAGGGCAATATGGGACAGAGAAGAGCCCTCCACTGTCTCAAGATGGCTCCCTGAAAGGACCCCACAGCCAGCTGGTATGCTAAAGCCCTCTCAGGGTACCTCCCATTGCCCAGGAACCGAAAACTACAATAGGTGGGACACTTGTCCTTTCTGGCTGTGGTCCCAGGGCACCAAGTACAACTGATAGTTTAAATTGAAAGATCATTCAAGTTCAACAGGTCCTGAGTGTTCCTGTCACAAAGAAGGCCCACATAGCCAGGGATTCTGAAGAGTAAAGAGTATTCTACAGGACAAGCTGCCGTGTGTGTGTGTGTGTGTGTGTGTGTGTGTGTGTGTGTTATGTGTGTGTGTGGGGGGGGGGCGGCGGCGGCAGGGCAGCACATAGCCAAGACATTGTGGGAATGTAGGCTGCCATTTGGTCCAAGATAGCAAAATCTTCCCAGAAAGATAATGCCAACAGCTTCCCAACTGTCCTGTGGGACTCTCTGGGCAAGAAGCCTCCCCTCCCCCATCCCAGCTAAGCCAAGTTCATTGGAAACACGTCAGGCACAGGCCAAAGGGCAGCTCAAAATAGTCTGTTTGGCAAAAGGAGCTAACTTGAAGCTAGACACAGCCGTCTTGGAATGGCCTAGGAACTCAGCAGCATCACTGGGGGCCACTGGATGTTCTAGGGAGTCTGAGACCCAAAGGCCATATTTATCAGGCATAGGGCAGCAAGCAACCCAAGGATTCTGGAATCTGGGAAGGGGCATAGCACCACTTCAGCTTGCTTTAAGCCCTATAAGAAGGCAGGTTCCAACGTTGTCAGGGGATAGACAATCCTCTCAGAAGTACACAAAAGCACATTTTAAAAGAGAAAAGGACAGAAAGGACCCACTAAAACGCAGATACAATTCCTCAGGGGGTCTTTTAATGTTAGGCAGTTTTCTGGTGAGATGGTAGATTTGTAAGCAAAAAAGGGCCAATACTTGTTTTTAGGGAGGGAAAAACAAAACAACCCACAAAAAAAACAAAACAACAACAACAACAACAACAAAAAAAAAAACCCCAGCTTGCTGTGGCCCACTCTTGCCTGCTCTAACCCCAATAATGTTATCGTTATAGGAAGCTGAAGATGGCCGTGATGGAGACGCACTGTGGGCAGCTCCTAAGTAGCCATGATATCCCACTTCTTGCCCATTTCCCCAGACCCTGACCAGGCTTAGGAGTGAGGTCTGAAGGGCCTTGCTGCTCCTTACCAGCAGCCTTGAAGGTATTTTTCTTATGTGACTTGAAGAGCAAAGACCAAAGAGCTTGGGAAATGCCCATCAGAACACTTGAGCTCTCAGTACTCTATGGGAGCAATGGAGACTGAAGGAGAATTCAGGAGGCTATGGATATAGTCTCCACTTGATCAAGCCGACCAGGGTGGCCCTTTGGGAGACCAGCTAGCTGGTCTCTAAAGGCCCCACACAGGAGGCTAATATGTCCATCCTCAGGGTGAATATAGATCTTTCCTGGGCTAAAGTCAGTCAATGCAAGGTCTGGAGTCTCAGAAAAGAGGGAAGGGACGAAGAGGAAACACACTGTGATCAGGCTTCACACAGAGAGCAGCACCACATGTATGCATAGAGGGGGATTATTATCACCCTCAAGGAGATGCCACCCACCCAGAAGACCCCAGATGACCAGGGAGGCTGGGCAGGACAGCCAGGCAGTCTTTGTACAGAGAGGCCCAGGCAGCAGGCCAGGCAGGCAGCCTTCCTGAAGGTGAGACTAGGTGTGTGCTGCTGAACATGACTAATCCACCCCGGGGGGGACAGGCCCAGGGCTCTGAGCAATTCCATAACTTGATGGAGTCCTGTCCCTTTCACAGAAGAAAATGGACTTAAGCTATAGCTCGCTGGGAAGGAATCTGGAACTGAAGACCGTTTTATTAAGAGTCCGTGTCCAATGATTAGGCAGGACCTACGTAGAGGGAGAAAGAAACCAGTGTGAGAGAATGGTGTGGAATGTACCGTTCAAGTTACAAGAACAGAAGAATTGCAGACTGAGCCAGCTTCTGTGCCCCAGTAACTGAAAGGGCACAAGAGAACCTTGTTGGAAACCAAGAGCCCCATCCCTGCCTGTCCTGCTTCAGAAAGGATGGATTAATCTACATATAGGAAGGTCATAGTGCATGTACAAGTCCCTAAAATCACCTGAAGCCTGACTGCACTTCTATGTGCCCTGCCTGAGTGTGCTGCTATTTTCTTTACTCCTGAAGTCCCATTAGAATGCAACAAGTGCCCCTGAAATGTGTTTCACCAGCCAGGTGTATCAAAGTCACCAGGTGTCAGCTAACCAACTTCCCTCATGGTGTAGTCAGAGAAGAAAAGGTCCCAACAAAGGCGGCAGCCACCTCTTATCTTCACGTCCCCAAAACAAAAGCAGAAACTATAAAAAGAAGAGCTGGTGACGTTATGCCACTAACAATTGTTAAGGGGAGGGAGAGGCCAAAGAGAAAAGGTCTTGTCCTTTCCATCCTTTTTTAGGACATCCAATATGGCTTCTGGTCCAGAGAGGGGCCTGGACTGGTTCCCACATGTAGCAGAGTGGCGCCTCTGCTGGAATTATGGATGCAACAATCCCTGGTCCCAGAACATGCCTGGGAAAACCCCGCCCACTCAGCCTCTTACTGTAGGCCACATTCCACAAGGCTGGCCCTCACCCCAGGGAAGCCCCAATCCCTCCAAGCTATAACTCCTGGGCTTCTGGATGTGCCACCTGGCTTTGGACATTTCCCATTCTTAAGGGGCCTTACCCCTTTCTGAAGCAATTGCCACATTCTGGCAGCAGGACCACCATATCCCTGAGACAGGACTGGAAGGAGTCCCTCAAAGACCCTGGGGCTAGGGAGCTGAGGCAGGCTTCCTGGTCAGAGCCCCAAGAGTGTTTCCTGGCCTCTGTCTGCACTCCCAGTTCCAGCCTTTCCAAACACCATGCATTCCTCTTTACCCTGGAGCTCTTAAGGAACACCCACATGTTCCAATCCTGGGAAAAGGAAATAAGACTAAAATAGCTGGACTGTGCTCTTCCATGAACAGGCCACAGTCCCAGGCCTTTTCACTGTACCTATTCAAACCCATCCCAGCCCAGGCAGCTGGAGTACACTCTGGGGGTGGCTCCGGAGAGGGTATACATAAGCTATATAGCCACCCATGCCCACAAAGACCTATAGAAAACATGTAAGTTTTCTTACAGGTAAGTTTCTTACCAGGTATTACCGGTATGACAAGAGAACTGAAACAGTCTTAGGACATCCCTGACCCCACATGACAGCCCATGTGATGCCATGCTGGTAATTGCATGGCTGCAGCTGGGAGAATAATGGGAAATGGAGAGCCCAGATCTGAAGTTGGAAGGAGGTAGCATCTGGGTCTTATTCTGCTTGTTCTAACACTGAGCCCCTGAGCAGTTACAGACTCAAGCTGGAATCAAAGCTCAATGAAGAAGAAAAAAAAAAAAACAAAAAGCAACCCAACAACAAATAGCTGGGCTCAAGGAAGTATCAAGCTGGCCACTGGTCCTGCTGCAGAAAATAAAGGCATACGTAGTGGCTGGGATCTATCTAGCAAAACATTCCACCTACTCATCTATAGTGTGCTCTTAACTCTGTGCACCCTTCCAGCCCCAGTTTCTTTAGGTGATTCATGTTGCTGGACCATGCCAGTAGAACTGACCCTAAGTGTTAAGTGACAAAAGCAGGTCCTTTGAGAAATTTTAACTTCAATTAAAATAGAAACTAAGAACAAGGAAGACATAAACTAGGCCTAAAAGACCAAAGAAAAACACCTCCACAGTGTTTACCCCACTTCTGCCCCACTCTCCTGCCAAGTAGAATTAGCAGTAACTTGTCACAGAGATTGGGGTTGCTGGGCTTCCTGGACCAATGAGATCAAATATGGAGGGTCTGCCCATTCCTGCACTCCATTCGTGTCTATGTCCTTGTGTGTGCCATCTGGGGATCTGCAACAAAAAACTCAGCAGGTCCTTCCTAAGCAATAGTACCAGTAACCCTACAACATAGCACTCTGTACACAGCAGGAAATAAAAGCCTACTGCTCCACTGGAAACACCAGAGGCCTGAATGAAGACAAAAGGGAGCCAGCAAAACAAAAATGGGAAGGACATCATCTGGAAAGAGGGAGGGGCTTAGCCCAGGCGGCCAAGCAAATTGTCAGAGCTAGATAGTCAGAGCCTACAAGTCCGCCGTTACAGCTCCATCACTTTAAATCTCACCCTCCTTCCCACCAGGACAGCTGTTCCCAGGACTCTCGGATTACTTGTTGCCCAAGTTTTCTACTTAAGGGAGGAGGCAGGTTGGAAAAAATTTATTCTCTCTGTAACAGTAGCAGAAAGCTTCTGGAAATGTCATCATGGCAATAATCAGGAAAGACAGGAGCAGGGCACTCATGTGGGATCATAGGAGGACTACCACGTAGTTCCGACAGAGGCAGGGGGATCTGAGTTCGAGGCCAGTCTGGCCTACATACAGAGCTAGTTCCAGGACAGCTTGGGCAGAGAAACCCTGTGTGTGTGTGTGTGGGGGGGGACGGGGGA